TCACTCTACGAGTCCTTGGCCGTGGGAGATCTAGGTATGAGTGCATGTTGATGTTTGATATGTTACTATGGACAAAGCAACCACTACGGCTTGTCAAAGAACACATACGATTTGGCAAATCGACTCGAACGTTACAAATTGCGGTTGTAAACCAATGTCGGCAATGAAAAGATCAAAATAAGCCAAGTCATTAATTTACAGCACAACCAAATGGATTGAGAATCTATGTGACAAAACCTGATACGGAAAAGTATTGATTGAAATGTTGCAATAGCCTGTTTCCTCGAAGGTTTGGGATGGAATGATTAAAATGTACGAAAATGTGGTTTATTTTGACACGTACATACTGTATTTGCAATAAATCTCCAAAACACCCCAGATCTATATCGCAGGAACTATAAACGCGATTGATTCGCTTTACCATCTAAATGATTCCCAAATAAATATGACATTGGTCTGGATTTCGCCAATTGATCTAAAACCTTCCTACAAGGTTAATTAAGGTGAATAGCCCAACACGTTTCTTCTAAAAATAATCTAAAAAGAAATACTCTCTGAAGTGTGAGTTGCTTGACCATTTAACGACACAACTTGGTCATAGTCAAATCGCTGACCCCGCAGTTTACCAAGGAATTAAGTGTTTCTAAGGATGTTACCCATTAAATTTAGTACAAAAATGCGACATTCCGGTTGGAAGAAGAATGGAAAACGCTTTTTGAGCTTCTCCCTCTGGTTTTTATTTTGGACAAGTAATCTATCTGAACTTATCTGCCTATTTAGTAGGATAAGTGTTAAATAATTTTAACTCTTTCTATTAATAATACCAAATTTATAATACTACAGTCTAAGTACACGCCCACCACAGTATCGACAAGGTAAGAACTCTCTGTCCCGTACATCCGGCGACAACCATCCTTTTCGAGTGCCTTCCTCGGAAGGACCCAACTGTTCTAGTATCTGTAAAATTTGACGAGCAGTGCCGTCATTTTGGTCCAACTCATTCTCATTGTTAATATGACTAAGTTCAGTTTCTGTTTCCTCGAGATACGAACTTCTCGATCGATCGCTATCGTCCATTGTTTGACTATTTGTCTCGCTCGTGACGCTAGCTTCTGCTTGCGGAACAATGATTTCGTCGCCATCTTGGAAAGACGGGATGGCAGACTCGTGTTCGTGCGCGACCATTTTGCTGTTTATCACGTTTTGCAGCTGTTGCTGCTGAATTCTCAGTTCTTTTCTTTCGTCCAACATTCGTTTGACCAAGTCTTGAAGTTGATTCATCTTTTCCTAGAAAACCAAACGTGTTTAAAGTCAAGAAAACATCTAGAACCAATCATGACTTTCGAAAAGAATCCCGGCCCATGAAAGCCTCAGAATACAGCCATCTCTCCTTGCTCTTCACCCCTTGGGACGTTTCGAAACGTGCCTAGCGGCAACGACGGAGGAGACATGGCTAATGAAAGCAATATTATAAGCTCTATGGATGGTAGTACATGTTTTCCCACTCTTTAAGGAGGTGTCAGGGTAGACCATGTGGGATTCATCTTTTTTGCAATACTATGGAAGCTTAAGGCTGCATAATTTCTCGTACGAGTTCACGGTAGAAAGGTTTACAATGCATGGCACGAGTTACATACTTTATCACGCAAAAGGCAGCTAGTCAGTTTGGGCGATCAATACCAGTACTACTTATCACTGATAGCACTCGATCGTAGTGACTCGTGGTCTAGTGAAAACAGAAGGTCGCTAATATTCGCCTTCACTAAGGTTAGGCATTAGAAAAAATAATGATAAATAATAATAAGAAGAAAAATGATAATGACAATAATAATAATAGTAATAATAA